GTTCTCGAGGTGACCTGCAGCCTTGTTGCCTGGCTGTCTCTGTACGCCTGCTTCTGCTACTGGCACAAGCACCGTTCCTATGAGTGGAGCTGTCGCTTGGTCACCCTGCTGCATGGGCTGATTGTCACCTGCCTCTCGGGTTACGTCGCTCTCTGGGGAGGTTCCTGGCCTCTGACCCATGCAGGTATGTTTGGAGTCTTACCCTGACACATGTCCTTGTCATGCAGGGTAGGCACCTCTGGTTTGGCTACAGATGGAGTGGGGGGGCAATTGCTTTTGCTGTCTGTTCTTTTATATGTACGTTTTGGGGGCATGTTTGGGGCAGGGTTTTGTTTACCTCCTCTGCTTCTTCTCCAGTCCTTACCACTTCTTACTGTTAATCTTTTTATTTTTTTGTTTGTTTGTTTTATGCGTGTATGTATTAAAAGCTTTCAGGTTGGCAGCTTGAGTTTATTGCAGCATTAGGTGCAGCAATGTGTTGAGAATGGACTAAGTGCTGTTCATGTCTTTAAGGGTGTAATAACTCCTGGCATTTAGCTGTGGGGTTTTGTCTGCTGTTTTCTATCATTAAATCTCAAATAGCTCTGCTGGTGGGGGTCAGGTGTTCCATCCCTGCTTTCTAAAAGGTTGGAGAGAAAAAGAGGAGCGGAAGTGTGGCAGGATGGGATGGTATGCCTGGCTCTGCTGGGCAGGCTGAAGTGTGGAGGGAGAGCAGACCAGACACCCAATCCTCCAGCCTGGCACTTGGCCCATAGGAGAAGGCTGGAAACTGAGGAGGAAAGAGGGATACTCACAACCTGTATTGCTGCATATTGTAGAAGAGTGTCTTAAATTTAAGACTCCAGGCTTATGTACGTCTTTCATTTCAGGTTCACCAAACACCTCTCTTCAGATCCATGTGCTGTCCCTGACCTTGGGTTACTTCATCTTTGATCTGGGCTGGTGCCTGTATTTCCAGACAGAGGGCGACCTGATGCTGTTCCATCACACGCTGAGCATCTGCGGCATGATCATGGTGCTGGGGCTCGGGAAGTCTGCTACAGAAGTCAATGCTGTTGTATTTGTCAGCGAGATCACCAACCCACTGCTCCAGACCCGCTGGTTCCTGCGGGAAATGGGCTGTTACCACACACTCCTGGGAGAGGTGGTGGATTTCTTCTTTGTGCTCCTCTTCCTGGTGCTGCGAATCGGGGGAGGAGCTCTGATCATGTATTCGATGGTGACATCCCCTGATCCCAGCTGGCTCCTCAAGGCTGGAGGCCTGGCCATGTACATTGTATCTTTGGGGTTCATGGTTGAAATCTGCCGCTTTGTCAGGAGGAAAATGTTGAAAAAATATCGTTCCTGGATAAGTCTGAGAAGTGTGAATGCACCTGTGAAAATGAATGGGCACGTGACAGCACATTGACGGCTTGTAGATGACAATCCCTTGTGCTAGGGTCCTGGCTACTGAAGCCTATTCCTGAGAAAAGAACTCTTAAAAGTGATGTGGAATTGACTTTCTGGCTCTGGTAGTGGTCTGACATCCCTGGAGAAGAGGATTTGGCACCAGGAACACAGGAAAGCTGATAGAAGAGGATTTGAGTGGAAATTGGAGGAACCAGGCATGTCTGCTGAACTGAGTGCCTAACTTCGCCAGCAATGGTACGGTCTCACAGAGGGTGGCAATGCCAGATCAGTCTGCAACCAGTAATTGCACTGTCTGTATGTGCCATAATCACTTTGGAGGTAGAATTATTTTATGTAGAGCCAGAAAATTAAAGCTGAAAAATCCCATCTTCCTGCCAGTGGGACCGGGTAGGGCTGTGACTTAGCAAAGATTTACTGGGCCTCACTCTCACTTAATCCTGGAACTGGACAACACACTTGACTAAGTACTTGGATGAAAGCCTCTGAACAAGATTCAAGTGCTTGCCAGGGATACAGTGGAGTTGTCCTCTGAGTGTGTGAAGTGATGGTACTTAAGGTGAGGCAATGTTTTACCTTGTTTTTAATTATACATTTCTTTTTTTAATGCTTGCATTCAAGCAGATAATGATCTTAAAGCAATGTGGCTTTGCTGGGATTGACTCAGGCCTTTGCAAATGAGAGTCAAGAATTAGACTTGTGCCAATAAACTCCATGAGCAGGTGTTCATCTAGCCTTGGGTTGCTTTAAAAAAAAAAATCAGGCATTTTGTGGGTGAGAGATGATAGAGAAGAGCCTTCTTGGGTTGCTCTTTCTGTTCTGCAGTTGACTTATTTACAAGCCACTTAATCTGAGTGCATGGCTAACAAGTCTCAAAAGTGACTATATTTTCAGGAGTGACAGTAATGTTTAGGCAGATTTCAGTGTACCATCTGCTCCATACCAGCAGGTCTCGGTGTATGGACCAGTTTTCTTCTTTACCTTCAGAATTGTGTTTTGACATTTCCCCTGGGGTTTTAATGTGCATTTCCCTCTGTTTAAGGCTGCAGTCCAGATTTACTCTTCCATAAAAGCCTCGCTTACAGCTCAGAAACAAATGGCCTTGTGTTGCCCTGAGGCTTAGCAAGGCTGGTTGCCTTTCCTTCCAGCTTTCAAAGACCTGGTGTAGAGGAGCTTTTTCATGGGTCTAAAGAGCCCCTGAAACAGCCAATGTGACTTGTGCTGAAGTGGGGCATCACCCCTGCTGCAGAGGAGAAGGCAGGGAGGAGTGGGAATACAGCTGCTGTGGGAGTGCAGCCTCGCTGGCTCTTCCGTGCCTCTTATCTCACTAACTTCGGCACTGTTCAGGGCAGATATCTGCCTTGGCTGGGGGTTAGAATAAGGTGTCTGGAGAGATTAAAAAATGACATGAAATAACCTAACTTTTGGCATGTCCTCTGAATGCGTTGCAGCTGTGAATCCAGGCAAGTTAGCAGGCTAATATGTCTAGAACAAGAGCCTTGCTAGTGTGGCTCTGGGGGCCTGGCCTTGTGAGGTATGAAGTCTTGCCAGGGTCACTCTGCTCTTCTGAAAATGCCTATGAGTGATGAGACTTCTAATAAAGTTATGTCCTCTTTTTAAAAAGAAACGATTGCTGTAATGTTCTTTTTGTTCCGGGCCTTCGGGAGGCAATGAAGGTAATGCTGAGGAAAACAGGCTTGAGGGTAGCCTAAGCAAGCTAAAGTTAGTAGTCACTGGCAAAGCTCTAGCTCCTGCACTTCAGGAAGGAGTGAGCTGGTGGGGAAACAAGCACAGACTGAGCCACGTGCTCTGGGGCTCAGGCTTGAGGTGTGAAGGATAGGTGAGAGTCAGCTGAAGCTCAGATTTGTGACTAATGTACCTGTAACCTGCCTTGCCAATGAGTCATGGTCAGTATTGCAGGGGACTTAATAATGGGCCCTTAAACTGAGGTGTTTGCTCTTGATGGGTGCAAGGTCACAGGGTAACCGTTTCATTCTGGTCATAACCTATGTCCCAGGTTGCTTTTTTCTCTCTGCAGCACCAGTGCCGCTCTATTTCTGCATTTCATCCTAGGAATGGGCAATTCAGAAGGCTTGAGTTGCAGGGTGATTTGTCTACACTATCTTTGGAGAAGCAGTTGAAAGCATGAGAACACCTTTGGTGTTAGGAGATGTCATAAGCTGCTGCTGAGTGGCTGCTTCCAGCAGAGAACCTGTTACTGCTGGGCCAGGACTCTGCAGACTGGAGTGGAGGTGGGCCTGGGCTTGGCTTCCAGCTAGAAAACTCTTCTTTCAGGGACAGCAAACCAGTGCACCCAGCTTGCATGCAAAACAACTGATGGTAGTTATCCTTGAGATATGAAGCAGTCAGCCCCCTCAGGTGGTCAGGCACCATGTCTCATCTAAAGATAGTTTTAGTGTTAAGCCCTCTAATGTGATGCTGAAAAAGCATCTGGCTCCACCCTCCGTATCCCATTAGGTTTCGTATATGCTAACATTTCAAAGAATGTAATTTTTAATACAGGGGACTGATTTTTATCTGTCAAATAGTCTTGAGGGCTTTTACAGTCACAGAAAGTCTTGGCTTGTTGCTGAGGAAGGCTACTGGACTCCTGTGCAGTTCCAGTTCTTGTACATTTACAGTTTATTTCCGGACAAGTAGTTTTCCAGTGTTGGCAAGCTCATACCTTCTGTGACGCCTCACTGTTTTAAGTTCTGGTTAGAACAGGTACCGATAAAAAGGCAAGTGGAAAGAATGTACTGCTGAGGGAGGGTGTAGCTATGCTCCAAGGGGTAGCAGTGTGCAAATAACTGTTAGCAGAGGTTCCTGTCCTGTGCTGTTTTGCTGAATGCTATTCATCTGCAGGCAAAATGAGCCAGTGCAACTCAGCCTGCCTATTTAAACGGCTGACTGCACAAAGCAAACGAGAAAATTAGTATAGAAGCTTCACCCAACTGCTGGTACAATCCACTGGGAGGTGATTTAACTTGCCAGCTTGCATGTCACTAGGTGCAAATTTTGCACATAGTATGACCTAGAACAAAAAACCCCACAACTCCTATGTATTCTGCCTCGGGCATTAAAGGGTCCTTGCCTTGTTAAGACTTTCAGAGCGCTCTTGTGTGACCATCTCTGTTCTTCGTGGCTGCTTGGTTTCTGTGCTGTGAGTCAACATTAGCCCCATAGCTCTCTGTCTGTCGACGCTGTTCTGTCCCCTAAATGTATGTTCTAAATATTAGAACAGCTCCATAGGTGTTAGTGAGGCTGTGGGAGGGGGCCTGGTGCTTGGCCCAGCAAAGGTGGAGGAGAGCAAGATGAGACCTAAGATTTGTCAGAGAAGAAAATGCACTATTAATGCTAGTGAGGACGTCGTGCTGAAATAGCTGAAGGATGAGCATCTTGTGGCAATAGGAACCTGTGCCTGGCCTGAACTGGAAAAGTAAGGTAGAGATACCTAGTTGAAAACAGGCTTGTTACAAGTGCTCTAAGAGGCGGGACAAGTCACTCCCACCATCTGTATTTCAAAAGGTAAAACATGACAGGATGAAAGAAAGAAAAACCCACCCTATTTCTGGGTGTGAGAGACTGTTTTGATTGCAACTTACGAAAGGAGTGAGCGTGTTTGTTGGTTGGAGGAACATTTTTGTAAGCTACTTTCAGGGTCCTGCATAAGCCCTGGATTTTACAACTCTGTGGATGTAGATGTAGGGAGGAGAGAAAAATGTGTGTTAGCACTGAATACTTGTAGTGAGAAGAAATTGCTAGGCTTTGTAACTGCTGCCTGAGCGCTGGCTGCGAGGGTATGTTCAGGGCAGGGCTGTGTGCTTGCCCAGCCTGCTATGCCAGGATGCCAGACCCCGCGGGGTATGGTACCCTGAAGCTGGCGCTATGCTGGCACAGTTTTGCAGGCTCGGTAGAGTTGGGTCACGTCAGGTGCTGCCAGGGAGTGAGCAAAGCAAGCCCACGTCTGCCTGCAGCTGCGTGGCCGTGCCTGTTACCTCTGGGACACGCGAGATGATCGAAGCGGGTCGCGGGTGCCTGGGACTGGCTTACTGTGCCCGCAGGCTGAAGCGATGCTCCGTGGTTTTCGGAGGGACGCGCGAAGGGGCTGCGGGGCGAGGCAGGA